GTGTTTTATTTGCATTAGGAGTTTTTTTAAACACAGAAACAAGGGCGGCAGCGCCCTCATGCCATGGCTATGCGCCGCCTTACCCTGGGGAGCAGATCCTCTGGCAACCATAAAATTTTGATTGACCAGGGATGACATGTGGCCACAGTCTTCAACAGTCTGATAGTAATTTTGGCCCCAAGGAAGCCATTGAATGCTCCATTTTAACTTAGAATTATCAAAAACTCCACACTTGGTGGTTCCGCTGAATTGCAGTGCTCCCTCTTGTAGTTTTTATCTAGAAAAACCCCTGTACATGTCTAAACGTGAACAAAATAAAATCCTTCACACAAAACACATAGATATAAACTTGTATGTATCAAGTTTACTTTTACCAATATGAGAAGTTCATTTCCAATGGTTTGAGCGTGTATATGTTCAGTGTTTGTTATAACTAAGCAGGTGACCAAATATTCTCATATTACTGTAAGATACTTTATTTTCGCTATATACCTTTTTTCCTATATTTTACATTCAACTCGTTAAAAATCAGTGAAAATAAATTCCATACAAAACCCCCAAAAAGTCTTTTCAGTGAAAATTAATTCCAGCTAAGCTAAAATTTAGTATTTTACAGTATAGAGTAATTAAGCACCTTTTTTTTAGGGATACCCCCTCCTATTCCCCGTATCTTCTCAATAGCTTATATTTGTCCTCAGGATGGGTTTTTCATTTTGGTGAAATATCAGCTTTTTATTTTTGATGATTATTATCATAACATGTACTGGGTACAAAAAATGGTCACATAGCAACTTCAGTGTATGCGCATGTCAAGCAATTGCTATAGTCAGTACTCTATTCTCTATTCCTCTATATTTCTCTTCCATCGAACACTCTTATCACACAAAATCAAAAGCATTAGGTAATCTTATTATTCCAAAATACCATACTACCGGGTAATTCGGGACAACATTCAATAAAATATGCTGGGGCTAAACTCTGGAATAAACTTCCAGAAGAAATTTGTTCTATGAGCTCAAGAATTTCATTCAAAAAAGAAATGAAAAGATTATTACACTATGCATAATTGAGTTGTATGTACATTTTTGTTAGCGTCCACTTATTATTGTAGTTTGTATTTCACCTAGAAAAGGGGGTGGACTCAACTAGTGTTTTACACTATTTTCCAGCTTCCTATTCACTATGTATTTTAGTGTTGTTTGTATTGTATTCTTTTATCAATATTGCTTGTAATTAAGTGAATAAATTCAATTCAATTCTGCCCATCGTTTTTTTGTAATATATATCTTAACCTTTTATTGATTTTTCTAGGGGAGTGTAAAGCTCTTATGACTGTCTACATGCAGTGTTTAAGAAGACATCAATTTGAAAATACAAAATGTCGACAGCAATCTAAAGAATATCTTGAATGCAGGATGGACAAGTAAGACAAGATATTTCCTATACACCCCACCCCCCAAAAAAACAATGAAAAAACAACAACTCAGTAGCACCCCTGGGGATGCCTAGCAAAATTTGAAAGGTCTCATACATTTAGGGAGTGGGATACTTATTCTTGTACATGTATGTAATTTTCTAGTACATATTTTTTGTAGCAAACAACTCCGTATACCGTATTTATCTGGGTAAGAACCCAGGTTCCTGAACATGGAAAATTGACAAAAAGTAGTGTTGGGCCAATGCCCTAACATCTCCTGCAAAAAAAACGATAACACGCAGATCGAACTGCAGCAGGGAATAGAACGGCAAATGAAAACATGAAACAGAAGTAAATGAACAATATGCAACATTAGAAGTAAAACAAAAATAATTTATTGCTTATAATGTGACAAATAAACCAGAAATAAAAAAAATGACAGTGAGGAATCATTTGAATTAGGATTTCCCCGCTGAAAAACACGCCCAATATGTGTGAATTCAAAATGAACAAAAATGTCAGAGGTAAAATTATTCCCGGTTTTGACAAATACTGGATCAACAGTCATACAAGATCAATAATAATTTGCCAATTTACACAGTAGAAATATCAAAAGTCCATAGTAAACTTTATTTGTACTTTCATTGCCATCTTGTCAAAGTCAAAACCCCAACAAAATCCCTATAGTGTCATCCTGAAGTTCGCCGATGTCACCACACACAGTTTGGACTTAGCACTGTTAATCCACAGATTTCGCTGATTGTAAGCTTGGCACATTTAATTCATGCCTAACTACAATAATGGGACAAGAAAAATGGGGTCGCTCTGCTCCAATGGAACACAATGCTTTTGTTTACAGTCTGTCAATCATCTTTGACCTTTAAGCATCTGCTTTACTGATTGGCTAAGAATGACATCACTACTAGTGTTTCATCATCATCTTATCAGACTAGATGCTCATCAATCATGGTGAAAGTTATCATTCAGCAAGTTCCGGAGGTTGAAATGTCTCACTATATGGATATCGCAGTGGGCTTGAAATAAGTTTTCTTTTTTCCAACGGCAGAAGAATAATAACAGAAATGCAATAGCTGTGATGAAAGATGGTAAAAATGTTGTCAGTCTCCAGCGTACATTGCAAAATTGCTGGCTCCAGTTATGGATTCACAAGCTGCTAACAAATATTTTATAAAGCCAAAACAACGTGATTTCAACCATTCTCCCAGGTATGGGTTGCTACAACATTGGTTTCATTGTTGATGACGCTAAAGCCGAACGAGTACCAGGATCGTTTCTGAGGAAGCACAAACTGTTTCTGCTTTAATATACGTTTTTTGTAGATTTGCTGACTGTTATGATTCTGATAAAAAATCTTGAAAAATAGGTGTTTCGAGCGAAACTTAATTTCTGAGCATTGAGGGCGCCCTTGAGCGTCAAAGGAATCAAAACATAGATTCAAAATGGCAGCTCGCACTGATGTAGCGAACGGTGTTGCTTTGAAGGTCATGGAAATTTCCATTTTATAGAAACATTTGTCATCTATATGATGCTGTATTGAGTGAGTTTTTTGGCATATACATTGTAGATGATTGTTGTCGTTTTTCTGATGTGGATATGCCATTTCCAATATTGAAAGACATGTGGTTATGATTTGCCGGATGGTTACAGAGGCTGTATAATGAGTAATGGTGATGTTATATTTGTTGATCAGTTGCGTTGTACATGTAATTTTAAAGGAGTTTTAAAGGATGATGTTTACTACAGAATACGCTTAGAAACGTTAGGGTAATTTATTGTTGAAGCAACAAACTTTTGCATAGTTAATCCAGCAAGTTTACTAGTTTGTGATGCATAATTAGAAATGTTTATGTTGAGGTGTTGATAGTTTAGTTTCTGGTATTTAGAAAATAGTATTACATGTATATTAAAGGATCAATAACCTGTCTACGCTGCTAACCTGTGATGATAGTCAACGCTGCTAACCTGTGACAATAGTCAACGCTGCTAACCTGTGACGATAGTCAAT